CCCCTGTGCTGGGCTAAAGCTCTTCTCTGCATCCTCCTCCTCCTCCCTTCTCTTGCAGTTGTCCTCTCGGGCAGTGCACAGACTTGCTTCTCTGCCACAGATGAGCTCCAGGTAGACCTGGCCACTCTCTCCAATGGAGAAATGTGTGCAAGACCCCGCAGCTGATGCCCTGCATCAGGCACTCCTTGTGCTGGATGATCATCTCAATCCATCCAGCTGGGCTCCGAGGCAGTTTATTTTTAAAAAGTCCTACTAGGACTACCAGGGAGAAGGCACTCACCTTCTGGAGTTAAAGCTAGAGGAGATGAGTCCTGCCTTTGGCAGATAATTGGGGCAGGTTTTACCAGGGAGCGCGTGGGGCTGATGGCTGTAAATCACAGCAGCTTTATTTATCGCTTTGGGTCGCGGTGGTGTGAGGGCTGATGAAGAGCTGCCCTTATCTGCTGACTTCAGCCTCCTGCCAGGAGAGATCTGGACTAGATTTATGTGGGAAAGCCCTTAGGGTGAGTCCATCCACGCTGCTTTTCATGCCTCACATGCTGCCAAGGAGCCCAGGAGGTCCCGAGCGAGCGGGACATGGCAGGAGAAGGCAGCAGGTGGACTTCACACAGCGAGCTCGCCTTGAGGTTTCTGGACCAACCACCAGGAGCAGCTCTCACTGCTGCGGGAAGCACAGGGGCACGGGGCTGCCTCTGCTACGTGAAACAGGCTGTCCCCCTCCCAAAACCTCATTGCTGGAACAATCAATGCTTGTTTTCTCACTAGTCACCAGCTTCTCTTGCTGCTCTGAGTTGGTGGCAATACAGAGCAGCTGAGGCCAAACAGCTGCTTTAACCCATTTCCCATCCCCTGATGGAGCACAGGTTGGTGGCAAACACCAACACATATCATTGCATCCGTTCCTCCAAGCTGAATTTCCAGAAACACAATCTCTGGGTGCTCAGTCTTGTAAGGAGGGAGCCTGATATGTCATTTCTTGACATAGAGTGGTGCTTTCTTCCCCAGAACTGTGCTCTTGCTAAGAACAGGGACTTGAGATCAGGTGGTGTCTCTGTGGACTCTGATCTCGGGGGTTGAGCCAACACCCTGCTTTGCCCTGGGAAACTTAACGGCAAGATTTTTTAAAGGCCTTATTGTACCGTCCATAAAGAGACATAAAAGCCATAATAAACGTGACACCAAAGATCAGTTCCCACACCAGGAGTGTCTGAGGGTTGGGAGGCTGTTACTGGGGCGTCCTAATGTGACCCCAGCACTGAAGTGCCGATGGCAAGGATGGGCACACGGGGGTGTGGGAGGGTTTGCTGCAGCAGCCACGATGGAGGACACATCCAAAAGGTTGCACTACCAAAGTGAAGTCCTGTGAAGCCCATTGGGGTGGGAAAGGGGCCACAGCACCTGTGAGCAGCAGCCCCATGAGCTACCTCCAGGGGCTTTGGCTGGACACGGGAATGGCCACCTCAGACACCGCTGCTGGGAAGAAAGTACAGACCTGGAGAAGGCCAGATATGAATATGCACATATAGCCAAAATGCACCCTTTGAGGAAAGTCTTCCTCCCTTATTAAGTAATTAAATAAAGCCCCGAGCTCTACTAAAATTAAAATAACAGAATCCATTTATTCTGGCAGGGCTCACTGGTGGCTGCTCTTGCCAAAAACATTTTTGTGGTTCTTGTCTTTTCAAGTGGCTCTTTTGCAATAAAACCCAGATGCCATTAGTCCAGGGAGGCCTTCAGGCATCTGTTTACGTCCATGAAAGATGCCCTTTGTAATTAATTAAGCTCCCAAAAGCTGTGGTAGCACATTCCCCGTGGCTCCTGGCGTGTCCCTGCCCGCCGGCCCTGGCAGCGGAGGTGCCTGCTCATTCCTGGGCGCTGAAGAAACCTTTTGTGCCTCAGCCTCGCCACCAAAAGGGGTTAAATCTCCTCCTCGGGAAGACGCAGCAGAGATTTCAACACTTATCAAAACACAAACAGAAGTCAACTCGCCTGGGTTAAATCTCCTCCTCGGGAAGACGCAGCGGAGATTTCAACACCCCGCTGCCGGTTCAGCGGCTCCTGCTCTTGCTCAACAGCAACGTGCAGTTGCAGGAGGCAGGGACCGGCCGGAGGGCGGTGGGGAAGGGGGGTTCCACCCCGTTCCCATGCCCTTTTGGGGGTTCAGGTGCTCCCAGAGATGACTCAGTCGTTGCAGGGTTTCCAAACTGGAGGGCAATAACACACCACCTGAGACATGTGGGGTTGGCACACATGGGGTGTGGGGGGGAGGTGATTCATGAAACTGCCCTGAGAGAGAAACCATTCGAGCAGCTGCATTGGGTCAGAGCAAAGAGCCCTCCAGCCCAGTGCTTTCGTCCAGACGGTGGCTGTTGTCCAGTATCTACAGAAAGATGTATGAAAGCTGGCGGTTTGTAGGGCTCCAGCTCCTGTTATCTCCTCCCAGCTGAGGGCAATTGGGGCTGGGGGCTCCCCGTGGCTGAAGTGGCCTCGCACGTTTCATTGCCACCGACTCATTTCTCCCACCGTGATTTTGGGCGGTCTGTTTCTGAAGCATTTACACTTTTGGCCTTTGCAGCATCAGGTGATGGCAAATCTCACTCTCTAATTACATGTCTGCTCAGCAAAGACCATCCTCGTGCTGGTTCTGAACCCATCTCCATCCTTAGTGTCAGCACTTTATGTCTTCACATCCTTCAGGATGTGCGAGACCTCTCTCATACCCCTTAGCTTGCTTCTTCTCCAGCCTAATTTAGGGAGTTTCTCTCCTAAATTAGGGAGTTGCATCCAAACAGAAACCCCAAGCAAAGACCAGCAGACATTTGGCTTCTCTAGGACAGTGTCTCTGCTCGGTCCCTTTGTAACGTGGTTGCAAACAGAAAGAAATGCTTTAGGAAGGGTCAGTCCTCGCTGCCTCATTTGTAACGTAACGACTCAGCCTGGGGTTTGGTTGTTATTGGTGGTTTTAGCTGCTGTTGGCTTTTCATTGTTGCTTTTTTGATAGATGAGTTTAATTTTGCTGGCATATTGCACGGGTTTGCAAACCAGATGTTGCTGCTGCGAAGAGGGTGACGGGCAGGGAGCAGTTCATCACGGCACCCGGGTGTCACAG